GCTTCTTTTGCTCCAGTTAACTTGAGTGTCACAGATTTCTGTGGATCCCTTTTTGCCACCACCCTGCAGAACAAACTGTTCCACCACAGGAGGAAGCTGAGATTTCTCCCATCTTTAGAAATTATGAGGAATTTTCACAGAATTCTCATCAGAAGGAGAGACGCGGTTAACGACATGGTTATTCAGTCAATCTAAATCTTGACTGAATAATAAAAAAAAAAAAAAAAACGCTTAAATTCGACAGTTTTTTTCTTTATTCTGTTGAATGAATGATTAAATTCAGGCTCAGATCGTGCTTTTCAGAGGATTTTCTCTGTAGCAGCCCAGACGAGATGAAAGCTCAGACTCATCTTTTACATTGCTGTTTGTGGACACGTGCTTCATTTACAAACTAACCTGACGACTTGACTTTAATATAAATTACTCATTTTATATATCGAGCAAGACACAAATAATGATTTATTTGGTTTTGGATGGCGTTTTGAAGCTTTGTGGTCCTGATTTCTTTCCACACACAGTCGTTTGCGATTGTTCAAATGAAAATCAATAAAAGATTATCGTGCACAGAGGACAAAACCACAGTTTAATGTGATTAAAGCCATGCAGGTAACATGATTTAGAGCTGTATCCTGCTGTGTGTCGTGCAAACCTCGTTAGTGACGTGTGCGCTCAGCTGCAGATGGAAACATCGACCCTCTTCACTCCACCAAACATCTCCTCCTCCTGCTCCTCTAATCCATATTTTAAGACTATGTGTTAGTGTCACTGTTTACCTTTACCACCAAAGCGTCCATTTTTACCTCCATCATTCTTGCATCACCTCCTCCTGCGCGAGTTTCACACATGGAGCTGCAGAACTACAAGTTTAATGCTTTTTGTTTTTTTTTTAATCAGAGTTGGTGAAAATCATTAAGCAGCATTGATGAGGGAAGAGGTTAGGGTGGGACAGCAAGTTGCTGCAGTGTCAACTTTAACCCCACCACTCCCTGCTCCCCCACACCTCCCCTCTCCACCCATCTGCTTTCTTCACGTTTCACCTTTCCATCGACTCCTGCATGTTTTGTTTCAATCGCTGTGAGACTTTTGAAGTTTCCGTGTGATGTCAGAGACAGCAGACTGCAGGCGGCGAGCAGAACCCCCTCCTACCCTGCTCGGCCATCACCCCCCCCCCTCCCCCATCCCTTCCCTGCCTCTCAGGTGGTAACCTTGAGATGTGACGCAGTCTCTGCTTGAGCTAATATTAAAACCACAGGAGACACCAGTTTGCATTTTTACAGCTAAATTAGCCGTTTTTGCTCATATCTGAAAACGGTCTGTCCACGGAGTCATGTCTGACACAAACATTCAACTTTAGCTCACATAGCTGACATTTTGCACGACAAAAAAACATTTTCCTGCTTCACAGATTCTGGACAGGCGATAAAAAGCCTCTTCAGCATCCCTCTGTCCTCATCTCATTTCTTCATTTACATTTTTCCCCACCCAACCCAAGCCAGTTCTCTGTCTCATAGTGTCCACTTTATTTCCATTCTTTCCATTCATCACTTTTTCAGCTCCCACTCCCTCTGCCCTGCAGCAGAATCCCACTCTCTTCCTCCTTCTTGTGCTTCTCTCACCCTTTTGGACCCCCACAGAACCCCACACCAACAGCGCATGAACTACAGGAGACGTTTGCACACCAAACCTGACAAATCTTTTTCTTGCATCTCCATACACAGATGCTGCTACATACCTACATACATCACCCCCTCCTTAGTTTTGGCTGCTGCCTCCTCCATGCCTGCTTTAGTCTTCTCTGCGGCGGCCACCACCCCCTCCTTGGCCATGGAGAATCCTTTCATCAGTACATCCATGGTGTGCGATAGAACAGCTGCTCCGAACGGGCCTGGCTGGTGTTTTACTGTGAGGGTGCAGAGGAGATGATGGGAGATGTCACAGCGTGTGCGCCTGAGGATGAGAGTGTTTTAGCTCCGCCTCTTGTTGGCGCTACAGCAGAGCGACGCACAGCAGGGCCACAGCAGGCAGACTGAAGGAAGAGGGGAGGAGGAAACACTGACCAACGACACGGAGGGAGGAGGCGGAGGAGAGAGGGATGGATGCTGCAGCATTTTAAAGTCACGCAGTATTCTCAGCCAGCCTCCATCATTCCTTCATCCTTTCCTGTTTGAGACCTCCAGAGGCCGAGTCTGCAAACAGAATTACATAACCAGTCAGGCTCCAGCAGAGAAGAGGATTTCATTTTTTTTTTAATGTCATACAGCTGATGAAATCTGTCATGTAATTTAAATAGTTTGGCCAAAAGATGGGATTTTGTTGTCTAAAATATGATCTATGGTTCACTTAGATACAATCATGGAAATGTTGTGCATTGTTTACACGTGGCTTATTACTGTGCAAGACTTTTGACTATCCGGGGGAACAAAGAGAGATCTGCAGCCATTTTGCTGTCGTGAGCAGATGGAAAACGCTTCGTCATCTCCACCTGAATGAGTCACAACCTCCTCCTCCTCTGTTCCACCCTGACGTGCTGACTCGACAACAAAGCAGCTCTGTGATGACACTGATGCAACAATATAATTTGCCCTCATCTGAATTAAGGCTAACCCTGACATAGCTGCATTTTCTGACTGATGATGTGATTTCTAAAGTCTCTCTGCCTTCCTAATATGAGTTTAGCATTACTTGAAGGGACACATATCACCCGCCTCATTTCATGTCAAACATTTAGACTAATTTGAAGCTATTTTTGACAAACCTAAAAATAAATTGTTGCATGCAGTCTCATGAAAAGTCCAGAGTGGTGAGAGTATGTGCTGTAAATGACTCTCCTCTGCTACAACACCTGTTTTTTTTTTAATCAAAACTCAGGTATTGCTAGTTTTATTATGGCTATGCTGCTTGAAAAATGAGTCCATGCATTTATTACAACCCGGCTGGACTACTGTAACTCACTTTATGCTGGGGTCAGTCAGGTCACTCTCTCACGTCTCGTCCAAAATGCTGCAGCTCATCTACTAACAGGAACTCACAGGTTTGAGCACATTACTCCAGCTCTGTCCTCTCTTCACTGGCTTCCTGTGCATGTCAGAGCTGATTTTAAGATTCTTCTGCTGACATTTAAGTGCGATAATGGCCTCGCACCCTCATACCTCTCCGACCTCCTTCATCCTTATACTCCTTCTCGGGCCTTGAGATCATCAGACCAGCTGCTTTTGGCCGTACCAAAAACCAGCTGAAGCTCAGAGGAGATCGGGCGTTTTCAGTCATGGGCCCTAAACTCTGGAACAATCTGCCCATCAACATTGGACAGGCCACCTCAGTCTCTATTTTTATATCTCTCCTCAAAACACACCTGTACTCATTGGCATTTAACACAATGTGATCTCATTTGGTATTTCATTGTTGATGATTGTGTTCATCCATTTTGCCTTTACTCCCTGACATGTAACGCAGGGTGATTTGATTTAGTATTTCATTGTTTCTCATTATAGTTCATGTTTTTATGCTTTTACTCATGTTGCTGTAATATGTTGTTATTAATATTTGATGCTGTGATCTTTTTTGGTAAGCACATTGATAACAGTTACTTTTTTATATGTGCTATATAAATAAATGTGACTTGACTTGACTAATTTCAATTAGCTGTGGTGAGCATCTTGAATCTTGGCTCCAAAAGTTGATCAGTTGTAGCTTTAATCGATTATTTCCTGAAAGTTTTGTAAAGTTAACAATAATAATAATATAATATAAACTTTATTGTCATTCAGAATTGCACAGTGCACCATGCAAAACAGATTTTTTGTTTGTTTGTTTGTTTTATTCCTCCACAGCAGTGTAGGAGTACATAATTTACATGGCCTGAGTGTTTATGAACGTCTGTGTCTGTGTGTGTGTTTTCTGCTGTGGTCACTTCATTAGTGATCTGAGTTCAGCAGTCTATAGCTTGTGGGATGAGACTGAACCTGGTGGTTCTGGTCCTCAGACTGCGGTACCTCCTGCCTGAGGTCAACAGAGTAAACATTTCACATTATAGGTGCGAGTTGTCTCTTTTGATTTTACTGGCTCTGGTCTGAGACCAATGTCCTGGATGGATGGGTGGGGTGTCTTGATGATCTTCTCCACCATTCTCACCACCTGTTGGTTAAATTAATTATCTTTTCATAATCTTTTTACATAAATAATCCAGTCTGAGGATACGAAGAGTTAACACACAGGCTTACATGGATGTTATATTGAAGCTCCGGTCGTGAGGTCAGCGTCTAAAGACAGGCTTTTTAGAAAGATCATCAGACAGAGGTGAGGTCAAGATGGCCTCTGCTTTCCAGCTTACAGACAACGGAGGAGGCGTCAGCTGTTATATTATCTGCAGGCGCAGTTCATTAGGCGCCTACAGGCTCCTCTCTGAGTCTCTTGACCTCACACACATGGTTCTACATTAATTTAACACTAGTAAGTGATAACATCCATGTTCCCCCGACACCACCCTCCTCAAATCCTTCCAGACGGCTTCATGGTGTTCTCCATGGTTCCTCTGCAGAATGTGGTGAGGACGTCGGGTGAGATGGAGAACGTGCAGACACGGCTGGTCTTTCTTCCCTACTAGGGTCAGTAAACAGCTGCTGTTTTAGATGTGCTTTATAAATAAATTTGACTTGACTTGACCCAGTATTTCTGGAGCTCTCCACCACCTCCACCTCTGTGTTGTTCATGAGCAGCGGCGTGTGATGTCGTTTTCTTGACGTCAGTAATGAGCTCTTTTGTTTTGTTGATATTCAGCTGATTTTCCCCCACACCAGTTCACAAGGTGTGCCACCTCTTCCCAATATGCCTGATCCTCGTTGTTGCTAGTCACGCCCACGACCGTGGTATCGTCGGCGTATTTGATGACGTGGTTCGTCTCAGACTGGTTCATGAGACATTTTACTAAAAGACCGAGACGACTCAAAAAAATATATATTAATGGCTAAATTTTAAACAAAGATTTTATTTAATCTGTTAGCTTACAGAACATGTGTTGGGGACCACTTTCAGCTACTGTCATGAGTTATAGCTGTTTTTACGTTTTTTTTTTTTTTTAAATTCAGTTGGTTCATTTCACAACACGTCACTTATCTTTGTAGATTTAAGAAAACATTTATTCACATTGATATCAGTACATTCTGAGTGCATTTTTACATACTGTACTTGTGCATGTAGATAAATAGTGTGTTTCTCTTGACGTCACATGCTCACATGCTCATTTAGGTTGAAAATTTAAATACATTTGTGATTTCTGAAGGAGCAAAACAACTATCAAACAACGACAACAAAAATAAACATTTTTGTGGTTTCCTCTTATTTTTTGTACATTTTAGAGACAAAGAGCTCAAATAATCAGGAAACAAACCAGAAAAAATATGTGAGATCAGATCATAACAGCAGACAAATATATTTGACACTTAAAGCAGTCTCATACTAACACGTAATATTGTTTTCTATTATTCTAGACTACAATAACATCTCACATTCCCGAGGAGTTTCCTCCTCCTTTTGCTCATTTTTCTCCATAATCCATCCCTACTTCCTGTAAACTCCTTTGTTTTTGCCCGTGTTTACATGTCCTCGTCTTTCTGTCACTCTTCCACGCCGCATGTTTCTGTCTCCTCTTTACTCCTGGATGTTGAGGATCTGTGCGGACAACCCGTGGTGCCAGTTCCTCAGCTTGGCAAACCGCGGCCCTTTGACCTCGGACTCAAACTTCTCCCTGATGGTGAGGATGACAAGATAAGGCTGCTGCGTCCAACAAAATGCTTTCATCTGATGCCACTTTTATCTCTGGACTACGGTGGCCGTGAGGTGTAAATGAATAACATTTCCAAAAACAGAATAAAAAAAATAAAAAAAACCACAACAAAAACCACAAAAACACAACAACATTTGAAAAAAACAGAAGTACATTAAGACAAAGTGGAAGTGGCCAGAATCACATAAAAAAAAACTGAATTACATTTGGGAAGGGGAAAAAAAATGAAATTCCATTTGAAAAAACAGAACTACATAAAGCCAAAGTGGCAGTGGCCAAAGTGGAAATGGCTGGAATCACATTTGAAAAAAACAAAACAGAATTACATTTGAAAAAATTTGAATTACATTAAGCCAAAAATGGAAGTGGCCAAAGCAGAAGTGGCTGAAATCACATTTGAAAAAACAGAAGTACATTTGAAAAAAAAAAAAAAGGAATTATTCTTGAAAAAAATGGAATTATATCAAGCCAAAGTGGAAGTGGCCAAAGTGGAAGTGGCCAAAGTGGAAGTGGCCAAAGCGGAAGTGGCCGGAATCACATTTGAAAAAATGGAATTACCTTTGAAAAACGTTAAATTATATTTGGGAAAAACAAAAAACAAAAATACATTTAAAAAAATGTAATGATTAAATGTAATAAACAAATAACTTAATAAAGTTAAAAAATAAAACACTATAAACAAACCCCACTACTTCCGCTTTGGCTTAATGTAATTCCGTTTTTTCAAATGTAATTCTGTTTTCTTTAAATGTAATTCCGGCCACTTCCACTTTGGCCACTTCCACTTTGGCCACTTCCACTTTGGCCACTTCCACTTTGGCTTAATGTAATTCAGTTTTTTTCCTAATGTAATTCCATTTTTTTCAAATGTAATTCTGTTTTTTCAAATGTTGTTCATTTACACCTCACGGCCACCGTACTGTACTGTACAGTCAATATGAAGATAAAAACAGGAGCTAAATTTATCACAAAGACAGAAACACAAATCTGACTTTGTTCAGAGTTAGATTTAAGTTGCCTTTAAAGCTCACCAGAGGACACGCCATCAAAGAGTGATGCATCAGTCTTTTTCTTTCCTTAAAGTGTGAATGTAGCATTGTTCTCTGAAATCTGCTTCTGCCGCTTGCCCTATTTTTGTCTTCTTTTAAACTTTTAGCAAGTGTCTATGATGATTGTTGACTCTTATTCTTTTATTTATTTCTTTTAAGATCACCCTTACCTTGATCTCTGCAGTGCTTCCTCATCTGGATCTTGCACTGCATAGACAAAAATGCACAATAAAGATTTGCTTTTGAAGGAGTTTTGAGGTATATCAGACAGTAAGGACAGAACAGAATAAACAGAAGGCTCTGAGCTACTGACGGTATTCCGTGCCGGTGATATGAGCCAGCATCCTGAAGCTTTTGGACTGCAGGTTGGCAGCCCGGCGAGCCCACTCAGACATGTCCTGGGTTGTGTCTCCTGGCCTGATCACCGCCTGGTACACCGGAGAGGCACAGTCCACCACGGGCTCTTTGACGGGCAGAACACTGCAGGGTGGAGAGTACACTTAGACCTCAGATCGTGTGATATTTACTTTATTTAAACTGATAAACTTTACATAAACACAATGCACCAACTAAGCTTTTATCAACTAAACATAGATAAATTTATTTTAGATTTAGATTATTTCAGAGCATGTGGAACTCCTTCTCTATTCACTCCTCTGTGCGTGCAGATGGGCAGAGCGTGGAGGAGGTGGTGATTTTACTGGTTTTAATGTGATAAATGAGTGAATCTGTGTTTAATTTGTGTTTTTATCTGTCCTGCCTTCCTCAGTGTTTCTTCCCTCATGTTGCCAGCTCCTGTCTCACCTGTCCTCCATCCCAACCTCCCCATGGTGTTCATCGTTGTGCCTCGTTAGTGTTCTCTATAAGTTCTGTGTCAGTTTGTTTCGCCTCCGTTTGTGGATTGTCCCCCGAAGACATCGTGCTCTGTTTTCCTCCGCGTCTCCTTATTCATGCCCAAATTTAGTTTTACTGACACGTCAGCCTTTTTGTTTATTTAAGTAAATATTATTCTTTATTAAATATTATTCTTTATTTTCATCCTGAGTTCCCTGGATACTGTCTGCACAATGGGTACAAAACCACACATAAGATGGCCAAATTGAAGTTAATGAGTTATTCTGCAAAAAAATATCTATAAAATCTAAATTATGAGTGGAGTTTGTTGATCCCTAGATACCCCAGTACAGGGGTCTGGACCGGCCTAACTTTCCAACCTCCTACGTCCTGACATCAGTCTATAGGGGGGTCCAATCCTGGTCCCCGCGGGCATGTTTGACGTGTCTTCCTGAGGACAACATGTGCCACACTGCACCATAAAACAAACGTATTGCTATTAAAATGCTATTTGCAATAAATTTGCCAAAGTAAATTTAGACTGAAATTAGTTTGGAAGTTAAATTATCATAGTTTGGTTGATGCCTTCTTTTTCCATTAGTTTTGCTTTATTTCGTCAAACTGGAAACTGTTTTTCGGATACAGTAAAACTTTGTTAAATGTAAGAGATTTCAAGTGCACAGTGTTTAAAGCAATGTGGTGTGACTGGATGGCGCTCTTCCAGTTCAAGGAGGGTTAGAAAGTGAGACAATAAAAAGAGACGCAGCTTTACTTACGCCAAAGGAGATCCGGCCTCCTCGCTGAGGTCAGGTTCAGGAGGGAAGGATGAGGAGGGATGGGTGGAGGGCAGTGCAGGTGTGGTTGGTTGGTTGGATGGAATGAACAGAGGAAAATGGGTGAAAGGCACAGACAACAACGAAAAACCCAAACCTACATTACTGTAGATATCAGCATAAAGGCCGTTTTATACATTCTGTGTTTTATTTCCCTCCTGCAGGTTTCATACTTTCAACTAATAGAAATTGGTTTAGAGACAGAGCTGCGTCACAGATCGTTCCTCCTAGTGCTGCAGAGAAAGTCCTGCTGTGAGGCAGAAGGTGAAAGCACCCAATAGAAGCAGTTTTATGAAATAAAAACAGATGGTGAGAATAAGCGTGTGTGCTTAATTAAGTGAATTATGAAAAGGTTCCTCTAGAGTCTGGAAGCACTTCATATTATGGATTAATTATTATATTTTTTGGACAATAAATCATGGACATTTATTCAGTTCTAAACATGTATTTGTGTATAATATGGACTTTTTGAGATGAGCCCAGAAGCTGCACTACATTTGGCTTTAAAGGGCCAGTTCACCCAAACAGAAAAAGATGAAAAAATACTATTCTTAGATATAGTTAGATTGATAAATTGGATTTTTTAAAAACTTTTGTCAATTTTTTGGTGAAATTATTAATAGATCCCTTCTTTATTAATTTTATTTTTTTTAAATTAATTTTATTCTTGATTTGACTCAGTGTTTGTAGTTTTCTTTAGGCATCATAACTACATGTTCAGACTCAGAAAAGCCCAGTTTACCTTTATTTACAGGTAACCTCTGCTTTGAATTTGGGGTTTTAAAACTTCACGAATGCCGGTAAGTCATGGAAAGCATGTTGACTGGGATCATAAAAACAATAAGCTGATATAACCGTGTATAAATAACAAATGCTACTTTCACCTGCCTTAAAAATACAAAACATAGTTCTTAAAAATCTATTTTTCGTTTACTTCTGTTTTGTTATTTTGAGTGAGCTGACTGGATGTAACGAACTACCAAGCGAACCTATAAAGACAAGTAAAATAAAATTGGATGGGGAGTTTTATGTTTTTTTTTTAAGCTGTGTGATCTCACCCGTCATGTCCTTTGGCCTGTGATTGTCCTGCGATGGCGTCCATGATGGCGTCCTGTGAGTACATGCTGATGGGTGTGTTGTACTGGGCGTGAACAATGGTGGCCTTTCCTCCTGGACCCCTCACCTCAATGGGTTTGTGGGTGGAGAGGGCTGAGTCTTTCAAAGCTATGGGGTTGAAACTGGGGGTGTACTCCACACTGTCAGAGCAGGCAGCGAGAAGGGGGTGTCAGATCAGAGGGTCAGAAGGGGTGCACGAGGTTACGTGGACACAAAAGAAAAAAACACCAAAATACAAAACCAAAATTATTGTTTTAATTAAGTTAATAATCAACAGGGTCATTATTAGACTTTTAAATCACAACTCAATGTTTAGCCCACTAATGATAAAATACAAATTTTGGCTTGGGAACACAAATTAAAGCTAACATGCAAGTCCACAGATTATCCCAACACACTAAAGTAAACAGATCATTAATATTCAGAAAAATCATTAACACACAAACATGTTAAATGATGTCTCACACATTACAGCCAAGCATAGAAGAGCTGTGGTCCTTGTTAGTACTTAACACTTTTATGTTAAGTAAAAGTTTATTAAATGACACTGATGCAGTCATTAAACTCTGATGGTATAATCTCACTGGGCAGCTACTGGAGGCTCGTCGGCAACTCAAAACTCAACTTTTTGAGAAAACATGCTGATTTTTATATTGCTGTCTCGCTGAATTCTGAAGGTTTGTGGCAATATTTTCCCAGTCAAGACACGGTTGAATAGCATGCTCACCAGTGCGCTTCACACAGCAATGAAAAGGTATGCCATGTTTATGAAAAATAGTGGGCCTAGCAGGTATAAAGAAAAGAGAAGAGGACCGAAGATGGACCCCTGCGGTACGCCCCACCGAAGAGCTGTCAATGTTGAACTAAAATCCTTGATGTTGACACAAAGGTTCTGTCAGAGATGTAGGATATAAACCATTTGAGGGCTGACCCTGTGATGCCCACCCACTGCTCCAGCCTAGAAATGATCTCATGGTCGATGGTGTTAAAAGCAGATGTAAGGTCCAATAGGACAAGAAGCACAGAACCACCTGCATCCGTGGCTAGGAAATTATTATTAAAAACCCTTCAATAGAGCAGTCTCGGTGCTGTGGAGAGATTTGAAGCCTGATTGGAACATCTCCAAAATAGTGATCCTCCAAAAAAATGTTTTAATTGGAACTCAACTATTGTTTCTAGTAGTTTGAAACGAATGGGAGTCTGGAGACGGGCCTAAAGTTGGACCAAAGCAGACTGAACTAGGTAAAATGGCTTTCTCTTACTCTGCTCTTGTAAACTTGAATTCCTTCCAAAAAGATCTGAAGCTGTCGACCTTGACCACTCTTAAGGGATTTTAAACAACTAAGTTAACTTGCAAAAACCAACGCAAACATGCTCCTGTTTAGTATTTTATATTGCTTTTTAATGTAGATGCTTTTGTTTCGTTTTTTATATCGTTTCTTCTATTTACTTTTCATTTTTTATGTTTATATGATCGTCTATTGTTGTCTGTACCTCATCTGTGTTCTTTGTTTAAAACGGTTCTCTTGGAAATGAGTCCTTGTGACTCAGTGAAATTAACCCGTATAAATAAAGGTTGAATGAATTTTGAGACAATTTTGTCACCCATTATTTCAAACATAAGCCTAAGGAAGATGAAACCCATTGTTTGCCAACAAGTTGCCACCAGTTGAAGCCCAGTAAGATACAAGCTTGGGGCACAAAGTGCAGTTTGAGCTTGTGAGCTTAATTATTTTTTTAGCTGTAAACTGGAACCCAAATTAGTCGACCAGTTCAGTTGGTGCACCACCTGACTGTGCAGTGACAGAGGCTTGCAACCCTGACTCCTGCAGGTTCAAGTGTACAAATGCTGCTAACGAGTCAATTAAATATGATATGACAAACGACACTGTAAGTGCTGAGGTTACTTCATGCACAAGAAACGTAAGAAACGTAAAAACAAAGTGGTAGTACTGACTTTGCGGCTGTGTTGGCGATGACCTGGGACACAGAGATCAAAGGAGACAAAAGAGACGAGATTGTTGATACGTGGTAACATCTTGTATTTGTTGTGTAGGAAACTATTTAGTCTTCTGTATTCTCATGCACAAGAAGTCATTTATGATCCGTCTGATGTTTCCCTGCTCTCGTTTCATCCGGAGGAATGACTGACAAGAACAGGAGTGTTTCGTGACGCAGGAGGGGTGTGGGAGTCGCAACGACACATTTAGCACAGAACAGACAGAAATATACACAAACATAGCACAAACCACCAGATCCATTTATGTCAGAAGTGCAGATGCACACTGAATCACTGCAGGTGCGCTGGACTTTAGTGCTACCACTTTATAACAGCGTTTTACCACGAAGGGTGCCCAAGAAAGTGTCTCAGTCTGAGATTTGAAAAATCTTTTTTTTAACATGAAATATGTGAAACGTTCACATTTTGTGAGGTGAATGTTGAACTTGTGTTCACCCCCATTGTTCAATAAAATGTATCCAGCATGACTTAAATAGGACTTTATGGCAAATATACGGCATTAAAGTTGAATTTAGGTTCTATTTAGTGACATCTGCTTGAGGTCTGAGCAGCACGGTGGTGCAGTTGGTAGAGCTGTCGCCTCTCTGTATGAAGGTTTCCGGTTCAAAAACCGGCTGAAGACCTTTCTGGGTGGAGATTACATGTTCTCTCCGTGCACGCAGGGGTTTTCTCCGGGCACTCTAGTTTCCTCCCACAGACTAAAAACATGCATGTTAGGATGATTGAACTCTAAATTGTCCCTGGGTGTGTGTGTGTGAGAGAGTGACTGATTGTCTTTGTGTCCCTGTGATGGACTGGAGACCTGTCCAGGGTGTCCCCCGCCTCTTGCCCAGTGACTCGTGGACGAGGACACCAGTGACCCCCGTGACCCAGGAAGGAAGAAGCGGCTAAAGGTGATGGATGGATATTTAAGGTATACCAACCGCACAACAGACTGGTTCAGTCTCAATCAGCTTTTTATTGGAGTGGACATTTTGAAGACATCTGGGACAACAGTTTTATGAATCATTTCTGTATGAGAGCAACATTTTGAGACGTGTGGAAGATTCTAAATAAATAAATAGAAGACGATTTTTTCTGTAGTTGGTAGTCAACACTCTGCACATCAGGTTTGATGAAAAACAGTTTTTAAAGAACTCCAACTGGTTCTGGAGACAGTAGGTACTGTAAAGACATGTCCCATCCCACACACGGGACATCTCCTTATAGAATGGGAGCTCCCTAACTTAGCTTTGGCATTCAGGATGATGGTGTGTAACCAGAGCGGAAAGTTCCATGACCAGGTCCAACAGCTGCTCTGACCTACGTGTGTGTGTGTGTGTGTCCATGTTCTCTGTGCGGTGGGGCTGCTGGCAGGACTGAGATCATCGCTCTGTGTTCTGCTTGGAGCTTGTTTCCCGACACCTGATGTCCCATTGGCTGCCGCTGGAAAGCAGCTCGGCACCAGAGGGGAAACACATTAGCTGAGACCGATACGCGGATGTGATATGTCAAAGGTCTCACCCTTAATTAACCTTTTAAATGTATTTGATGGTGGGAGCTCCACTAATACCTGCAGTATGTCATCTCTCCATAGAGTCGTCTTTGTATTCTGTGTACTCTTCAATTTGTGACGTCAAATCTGTGGGAATGTGGACCGCATCGATGCCTGGTTTCATTTCATCATTTGGGAGTTCATTTTGCACGGATGTGTTTATGTAAGTGTTTTTAATGATTCTCAGCTACTACCACATCAACTTGCGTTAAGGTTCAATAGCTGTGGAAGTCACCTTCTGTTGAATTTACCCAAAAAGTTAAAGAACTTTCTATAACTTTACTGGTTTATGAGATATTTTGCAGCCAAACAGGGCTGACTCCACTGGTTATTACTAAACTTTTTTAAAGTTTAGATTTATGACAGTTTGGGAATAACTCAACTACAACCTCCACAGATTTGATCTCGGCATATATAAAACTAACTAAGATACAGTAATTGTTGTGTTTTTCTAAGACTTGAGTTGATTAACAAAAAATAATCAGCTGTGGATGGAATGGCATTTTCTGATAGTTTCATTAAAATCTATCAGACAAAATGGCACCAACAAAAAATATTGCCCACCTTCAACCTAAAGCGGAGGCAATAGGTGTAAAGCACAATATGCGTCTTTGAGTCTGATAAAGTTGATGTCTTTACAAAAAACATTGCAGTTTATTAAAAAGAATAATGGTCTTTCTTTTCAGACTGCATTACAGAACTGTCAGATCAAGTTTCTGTATCATTTTAAAACATAATAAATGATGTTTTTTCCTCCAACAGATCTATAATAATTTGATGTCAACAATTCAGAACATGTTAAACATCTGTTGACACCGGGAGTCACTTGTCACTTCAATAATGACTACTTTTAGCACTCAATATAGATTAAAAAAACCATATATATATATATATATATATATATATATATATATAT